CCCAAGGGATCTGGCTCCCTGCACTTGAGTTACAAACACACACCACCACCCAATGGTGGTGGCACAGGCCTTTAATCCCAGCACTTGGGAGGCAGAGGCAGGCAGATCTCTGTGAGTTCAAGGCCAGCCTGGTCTACAAGAGCAAGTTCCAGGACAGATAGGATTGTTACACAGAGAAACCCTGTCTTGAAAAACCAAATACACACACACACACACACACACCTCCTCCACCACCACCCCCACCACCACACCTGCCTCTATTTTTAATCTGTGTTCTGGAAATTAAACTCAGGCTCTTGCGCAAGACAGGCGCTTCACAGACTGAGCCATCTTTCCCAGCTCCATATTTTGGGTTTTTGAGACAGTTTGGCTATTTACCCCAAACTGGCCTGGGACTTGCAGTCATCCCCCTGCCTTTGTGGGTCGCAGGTGTGGGCCCCATACGTGGCTTTCTGCTGTTTTAACAACGCCATCTGTGGGTCTGGGTTCTGCAAGAAGCAGGTAGTGAAAGCACGGTTTTGCTCAGGCTCCTGCTCAGGGCTGGATGAGGCGCCCTTGGGTAGTGATGGGCAGGCGGGCGGCCTTGATTGTGCTCAGGGCTGGAGGAGGCGCCCTTGGGTAGTGATGGGCAGGCAGGCAGCCTTGATTGGGCTCATGGCTGGAGGAGGCGCCCTTGGGTAGTGATGGCCAGGGAGGCAGCCTTGATTGTGCTTGCTTCCCTTCTTTCACCCTTTAGAGGTCCCATAGGCTCGCTTGCCCTTTAAGATGCTGACACTGTTGTTTGGGAGAGTAAGCCTGGGCTGCTGCTGTGAGATTTTCTCCTCCGCCTGGCACCGTGACCCCACACCGCCAGGACTGGACAGGATAACCAACTAGGGAAAATGAATCTGGACTTCGGCTGCTTTTATCTCAGAACTCACAGGGCAAGGGCACTGGCGCTCAGCCTTTTACCCTTTGGGACTTCAGTGCACTTGCACTGTCAAAGCACAGGGCAGCCCTTGGACACGAACTTGACCCAGGGACTATGATAAAGACTTCCTATTGGAACCTGGATCTATTGCTGGTTTTTCCTATCGGAGTTTATTTAATCCACTCCCAAACCTCTGAAGAGCAATAGAACAAAGCTCAGTGTAAACTAAGGTGGGAAGAATAACAGGCAATTCATTTTCAAAACAGAACACTAAGTAGCTTTTGTCTTGATGAGCGCATGCGTCTCCAGCCCAGGGCTGAGGCACTTCAGGATGTACAAGAAAAATGGTCTAACATGGTGGGCACACCAGTCAATCCCGGTGCTGGGGGGGCGGGGGGTGAGGCAGCAGGAATTTTGTAAGATTGAGGCAAGCCTGAGTAACATTGTGAGTTCCAGAGCAGCCTGAGCTACAGTGTGACATTGTTTCAAAGAAGCAAAAACAAGGGTCTAGGGAGGTAGCTCTGTGAGGAAAGTGCCTGTTGGCCAAGCATGAGGACTTGAGTTCAGATCACAGCAACCTTATGAAAAGCCGTCGCTGTAGTGTGTATCTCTAGGGTTGAAAAGTTCCCTAGAGTTCACTGGCCGGTCAGTCTGGGAGGGAGGGAGGGAGAGGGACAGATTTTTGTCTCAAAGAAATAAGAATGGAGAGTACTAGAGGCCTCCTGTATAGCTATGGCTGTCCTGGAACTAGCTCTGTAGATCAGGCTGGCCTCAAACTCACAGAGATCTGCCTGCCTGTCTCCCGAGTGATGGGATTAAAGGCGTGCACAACCACTACCCAGCCCTGTCCCTGGGATTTGAGGACTCACTCTCCTCTGCAGTGCCCGGAGCTCTGGGAGAGCACAAAGTGTGTCTGCCTTGGTCACTTCAGAGTCTGTTGCTGGGGAACAGAAGGTGGTGGAAACTTTCAGGGAAGCTACATGGAGGCTGAGGTTGAGTCTAATGAGGAAGGACAACCAGAGTCCAGAGGCAAAAGCAATTCTACCCACTTGTTCACTGCCCCTAGGCTTCAAGAACATTCTTCCAAAGCCCTTTTGCCTGTGGAGCAGCAGCAGGTATAGACAGGTATGTATTCTGTGGGCCTCGCCTGTGGCCTACCATATGTCATGACAGCTAAATTGAGTGGCAGTCCCCAGATGTAAACTAATTTCTGTCCAGTTTGTTGTGATCCAGCTGCCCTCACTCCCTCTGACTTACAGCGGAACTTCCTTGTGGTCTGTAATTGACAAGGATGTTTTTGTTCTTTCTGGCCGGTGGGTCTCCACAGGAGTAGAGGTATAAAAGGTTGCTGGGTAAAATAAAGGTTGCTGTTCTTCCACCTGAAAAGAAGCTTCCGTGTCTCAATTCCGGCACGCACGCACACACACGCGCGCGTATACACACACACACACACACACACACCCGCCAGTCTTGGCTATCCAGGCTGCACTGGCTGCAGCACAGTTCACTACGCATTAACCCTGACCCATTCAACTGTTGGCCCATCTGTAAATACCAGGGGTTCAGCAGCCATTTCAGAATCTGATTAGCTATGACCACACAGGAGCCCTGGGAGAAGTTATTGACCCTGGACACTTAAAGTGAAGACCTAATAATCAGAGTAATAAGTCTGAAGGGTCTGATGCATCTTAATGAGTGTGGCTCCACCTTGGGAAATGAGTTACATAATAAAGAACCTGTTAGTTGGGCATAATGGCACATCTTTTAGTCCCAGTACTGGGAGGCAGAGGCAGGCAGGTCTCTTTGAGTTCAAGGCCGATCTGGTCTACATATAAAGTTCCATGCCAGTCAGAGCTACACAGTGAGACCCTGTCTGGAGAGTGAGCCTGTGACTGCTCCCTATAGGTTCACTGCCTGTGCTGTCTCCTTCTGAATGGGGAAAGGTTTGGAAGGGGAAAGGGACACCTGAATCCCCGAGCTTCTTTGTCTAAGAGGGAGCTGGTGACAAGTATGCTCGACTTGTGAAAAGCTTGAGCAACTTAGTGAAACCGTAGCTCAGAATATCATAATTTTGAAAGAGGACTCTGTGAAAGAGGGCTTGCTTAGTTGCATTAAGCTCTAGGTTCAATTCCCAGGGAGTGTGTCTCCGTGTGGTTTTCAACTGGTGTGTTTTCTGTACCTTCTCTGGTGTGATGCCTGCTGGACATGTCCAGGATTGGGGCACATGCTGAAGGTGCCACCTGTCCTGTCTGTGTCCACACCAGCACTTGCCCATCCTTAAAAAAGCTTCTCCTCTGCAGGCAACATTCAGGTTCCAACTACAGGAAGAAGCGGATTTCTTCCTCTTTTTATTTTTTAAGGTTTATTTGTTTCATTTTATTTGTATAAGTGTTTGCCTACATACATGCTGCACACATCTGTGTAGTCACCACGGAAGCCAAAATACACTGTTGAATCCCTTGGAACTGAAGTTGAGTCCTTTGCCTGCTGAGCTATCTCTCCAGACCCCACTTTCCCGTAGTTTTTTGCTTTGTTTTTTGAGACAGGGTCTCTCTATGTAGCTCTAGCTGTCCTGGAACTCACTCTGTAGACCAGGCTGGCCACTCAGAGATCTTCCTGCTTCTGCCTCTTAAGTGCTGAGAATAAAGGCATGTGTCACCACCGCAAGGCTCCAGTAGATTTAAACCTAACCCATTTGGCTCTTCTCTCCTGCTGCTACCAGGAAATAATTCATGGATTTAATTTGGCATAAAACACCACAAGTGCAAAATTCCAAAACTACCTTTATGACTCTCTTTCCCATGCCTTCACTTTAAATCTGGTTAGTCTACCAGGCAGTTGCAAACACTTAATTTTTTAAAAGAGATTTGCTTATACTTGTGTATTTTATGTTTATGGGCATACTGGCTGCACATACATCTGCATACCAGAAGAGGGCATCAGATCCCATTATAGATTGTTGTGGGACACCATGTAGGTGCTGGGAATTGAACTCAGGACCTCTGGGAGAGCAGCCAGTGTTCCTAACTGCTGAGCCAGTTCTCCGACCTACAAAAACATTTTAAAAAAATTACTTGCCATCAGCAGTTCATCAAAACAGCAGAGAAGTCTGACATGGAGGCACAAGCCTGCCAGCCTGGACAGCAAACAAGGCCGTCTCAAAGTAAATGAAAGACTACAGAACAAAGACGTGCAGGTGCATGGCACCTGGGAGTAGTCTTGGTGCACCTGCTCCAGCCCACATGATGTTCAGGGAACCTGGTCAGTGTGGCAGTGTCTCACAGCCAAAAGTAAAGTGTGGCCTAGTTTTGACTCTTACTAATCCCTTTCTTATTTAAAGAAGAAAATAAAAAAAAACAACTATTAGTGTTTTCAAAGAGGTAACTCAGGCCTGCAGAGGGCTTTTTCTAGCTACGGTGCTTTTATCCTTTTTAAAAAAAAAAAAAAAATTGCCAGAGAAGCTAGGCACTGGTGGTGAGCGGCTTTAATTCCAGCACTTGGGAGGCAGAGGCAGGTGGATCTCTTGAGTTCAAGGCCAGCCTGACCTACAGAGGGCTGGACAGTCAGAGCTACACAGGGAAACCCTGCCTCGAAAAACAATGACCTGTTATACACACTGGAAGTAGTGTGGACTGTCTGCCAGCTCACTGAACTATTTTGTGGTACTGGAAATGAAGCCCAAACTCCTCGGCCTGCTACCACTGACCTACACTCTTACCCACTTCTTACTTTTTGTGACAGGCCTCCCTCGGTTGCCCAGGCTGACCTTGAACACACTCAGATAGGCCTTGAACTTGTGATCCTCCTGCCTCAGCCTCAGAGTAGCTGGGTAGACTGACCTGCACCAACAGGCCTAGTGAAACTGTTTACTTTGTAAACAAATATAAAAACACCTACATAAAAGTTCAGAAATAAAGTGGATGAAATCAAAGTAGACAAAGGGATAGGAGCAAAAGGATGGGACTTGGACTAGAAGATTCCAAAGCAGAACAACCACAATGCACAGTTAAGCAAATGTCTCATGTGTAGGGCATTACGGTGGGCACAGAAGCTAAGTACAAGAAAAATGCTAGCAACTTCTAAGGGAAGCTGATGGTCCACAAATCAGTTTCCTTTATTTTGCTACCAAGATTGCACTCTGATATTCATAGCAGGTTTTAGAATGACTAATTTCCAGATAATTGAAAGACTCTGTAGTTATGTCTACAGTGTATATCCTATCACTTTAATTAGAAATAAGACTCAAATATCTTTTTTAAACATTTTTTTTTTAGATTTTAAAACGTTATGAGTGTTTTTGCCTGCATGTATGTCTATGCACCAAGATCCTGCCTGGTGCTGGAGAAGGCAAGGAGACATCTGACCTCATGGGACTGGAGCTACAGACAGCTGTGAGCCAGCACAAGAGTGATCCCCTCTGGGAGGGGGCAGCCAATGCTAAGTCACTTCTCCAGCCTCCCAAAGAATACCTCCGTGGGCTGAATGCAAGTGTACCATCTGTGAGTAATCCAATTAGACTCAGAGGAAGTAAAACTGTGTCCTAATTAATTCCAGATATAAAATGGATGGCCCAGAGAGCATTTTGATTGCCACAGAGAGGAAACAAAAACCCTGTTACATCCCACACTATAGGCTGAAGGCACACTGTAGAAGGGCCCCAGACACAAGGCAGCTCTCAAACAATTTTAGGCTGCTTTCTCAAAAACCTCCTTGCAAGAGTCTATTTGTTCAGAGGCCATGGACCCAGGCTCTTCCCTACATGACTGAAGATCTTTGAGTTACCACAACCATCCATGTGACCTGCACGCGGCTCCCTCAGTACTGTGGAAACGACTCATCAATTTTGGCGGCCCAGGCCATGAGTCCCCCTACAATATCCTGAACGGTTAAAGAGTCTAGCTCTGGCACTGCCGTTAAGGACTGCAGGACCCTCACAGCTTTCTGGGAGTCATTCCCCAGTTTGCAGATCACATACACAGAGAGAGCCACCCCTTCCTGAGAGTTCCGCTTCCCTTCCCGGAGGGCATCCCCTAAGAGCTTCAGGCTGTCAGCATCCCTCCGGTCCAGCTTATTCAAAGGGATGTGGAGGGCGTGCGGCAGACGACAGATGTCCACCTCCACTTGAGGCCGGACGTCCAGCAACACGTGGGGCGCTCCAGAATCCAGAAGTTGCTTGTAATCGGTCACGGAAATCCGCTCCTCGGGGCCCAGGAGCTTCAAGACCCGGCACTTGTCGGTGGCCGAGGAGCCGCAGAAGGCCTCGTAGTCCTGCAGGCGGGTCACGGTGGGCTGCTGCCCGCACACGGCGCAGTCGGGCCGGCGATGCCGCAGTCGGATCCGGCGGAAGTGGCCGCCGAGGCCGTCGAAGAGCAGCAGGCTGCCGCTGTAGGACGGCCCGAGCCCGGCGGCGATCTTGAGCACCTCGAGCGCCTGCACACAGCCCAGCACGCCGGGCACCACTCCGAGGACGCCGCCGTCGGCGCAGTTGGTCACCGTCTCGGCGGGGGGCGGCCGCGGGAAGACGCAGCGGTAGCAGGGACCGCCGTCGCAGTGGTAGACGGTCAGCTGGCCCTCGAAGCGCAGCGCGCTGGCCGACACCAACGGCCGGCCGGCCAGCACGCACGCGTCGTTCACCAGGTAGCGCGTGGGCACGTTGTCCGAGCAGTCGGCTACCACGTCGTAGGCGCGGACCAGCTCGAGCGCCCAGGCCTCGCTGAGCGCGCGCGCGTACGCCACGCACTCCAC